ACCTGGGCTGCGTTCAATACTGCGGCGCTGGACCGATCTCCAGTGCTCTACAGCAGCTTGTGGCCTCTGCTGCGTGCATTAGCTGAAGCAGCAGTTTGCAGACTTGCCTGTATTTTGCTTCAACAAGCACTTCTGATCACCTCATTGAGGCTATAAAGATAACTCAAAGCCATGTGGCTTCCCTAGAAACACTTCCAATTTGTTTTGCTGGAGTGGATGGGCAAAGTCCCACTGCCTTCTCAGTTCAACTCTACTAATTTTCTAACCTCTTTGTTAAACTGGGAGAGAAGCTGGAGGAAGACAGGCAGTTGGCAGGAATCACAAGTGCTGGCAGCTCACAGCCCATGTGCCATATGCTGTATCATGTGCCATACTGAAGCACATTAGTAGCTCTTGCTCCCTCCCAACAAGACCCAATGTTACTGCCAAAAACGCAGCCTCTTCTGGGAGTTTCAGCTGCCCAGTGTCTCTGGGTGTGGAGCACGACTCATGGCCTGGTCATGAGTTAGGGAACCCGTCAGGGAAGGCTGCTTTCCTCCTAGAGAGGCAAGTCATCGTAAGGCCCTCCAAGAGGTGGTTTCTAATTCAAGCACATCCACTAGAGCCTTCAGATGAGCAGTTCTGCCCTTCTCCCAGCAGGAACTGCCCACAGACAGAGGGAGGGACCTTTTCCCCAGCTCTGGCTTGCAGCCAGCCCGACTCACCTAGGTCATTGTTATTCATCATGGCATTGGAGGCGCGGAGCCGGGGGCCTTGCTGAGTGAAATGGTACCCGAACTTCAGCAGGGAGGTGTTTTTTTCCAGTATGTTCGCAATTTCCATTTCTACGTTGTTGCCCAAGGGCTGGCTCTTTTGAAAACAGAAAAGCAAGCTGGTCAAGTCAGAGGGTGATTCCAAGTAAGCACTTAGATCTGCCATCTCCACCGTTTCCCTCCTCTTTTGGACCTGTTGGTCCATTTGGCATTTCTGACTGGGAGATGGTGAAACAAACCACTGGCCTGTTCGTGGTACAACTAAGTGGCTCCAACTCCTCCAGCAGACATTCTCACAAGTCCTCTTGCCCAAAGACTTTATTCCTTGGACAGATTTGTAGCTAAGAGATGTCTGGAGAAACTGATTTTGAACTCCCAGACACTTGTCCCTGAGCTCCCCATAGCTCAGCTGCTTCACTGCTATCCCCTGGGTTTCTGGGGGAGCTGAACTTGCCACCACATCTGTACCACTGCACACTCTGAACGAAGCTCTCCTTCTCTTTCCCATGCATTGTAGCAAAAATTTCAGTTCTCCTAAAGAGACATGAAGTCCCTGCAAGAGCTCAGAGCACGACATGATGTTGGACACGTGCATCACCGCTCTCCAGGGCAGTGCCAGGAACACGGAAGGTGCTTGTGCTGCCACAGCCTTTGTTAATTACTGTCGGTAACAGCAGATACTGCCCAGGAACTGCAGCAGAAAGAAGGGGCTGAAACCTCTCCAAGGCAACCTGGCAGTGGTGGTGGGCTGCCACCGTGCACCTTGACCAGCTACTCAATTTCCCAGAAGGACACGTTCAGTTGACCAGAGCTCCTGCTCACGCACGCTTTACCTGGTTGTCAATGCGCAGCTCTATGAGCGAAGTGTTGCCCTGGAGCGCTTCGACAACAGCCAGGATCCCTGATCCAGAAATGAAGTTTGATTCTATGTTCAGGCTCTTCAGCGTGTTATTGACCTTCAGCATTTCTGCCAGGGCCTGTGGGCAGAGGTGGGGGTGAAGAGCTGGCAGTCAGGCAGGCAGGGGCAGAGCACCCTGGAGCAGCAGGGGTTCAGCTCCCCTTGCCTCTGGACATGGGAAGGACCCTGTGTGCCACCAGACGGGAGGGCTCTGTGCAGGGAGAAGGGAGTTCCCCCTTGTTGCAGGAGGATTCTTGAACGTGAGCATGCTGGAGGCCACAGCAACACCTCATAAGGAGAAGCCTTAGGGCCACCCCAAAAGGCAACAGTCTACACATGTGTCTGCCTCATGACAGCTTCATCTGTCCTTCTTCCAAAGGCAGCATGGTGCTGGCAGGGATGCTGGCCAGTGTCAGCCCTGCCTCCTGGCCGATGGGCTCCCTGCCTGCACTGCTCCTTCTGCGCAGGGCTGAGATGCCTCCCACCACAGCAGGCAGAGAGAGGAGTGTGTCTTGAACAACAAGGGATTCTCCACGTCCAAGTGTCCTCCTAAGTGGCATCACAACCATATTAATCACTTCTGCTTCCCTCAGCAGGTAAGTCTAGGAGCAGGCTGGCACACTCCCAACCCCCCTGACCTGATCTGATGATCTCATTTCATAAGCTGCACAGGAAGACCCATGTCCTTCACAAAACAGAAGGACTAGAAAGTGATGCCCAAGCTGCAGAGCTGACCTGCACCCACTCACACAGCACTTGGCTCCACAGCCCCCCTAGCCCTGTGCAGTGTCCCACAGGCCCTCAAACAGTGCCAGTGCTGCCTGCAAAGGCTTCTTCCCCAGTCCAGAGTGCCTGAAATCATGGGAGGGCTGTCCTCATATGATAAAATAAATAAATTTTTTCTAACACAAAACCAGTGTGCACGTGTGTGCATGGAGGTAGGTAGGGGTGGCCTGGGGGAAGAAGAGCAAAAACCAGCTGCAGTGGTGCAGGAGGGGTGAGTGTGCCAGGATGCAGCCTGGAAGGTAGCATGAGGGCCAGGCAGAACAGCTCAGCACCTCTGTGCATCCCCACTGGTATTTAAGAAAGCTCTCAGCAACCAGAAAGATCCTTTATCATCCACAGAGGCCACGCGTGAGAAATGCAGAGCCCTGCTTTTGCACAGGCCTGCACAGAGGGATCGATGAGAGAGATGGAGCAGACGTGTGCAAGGGGAGGGAGGGGTGTGCAGGCAGCAGCGTAGGGCTCTGTACCAACAGAGACAAATAGGGAGGCCCTGAGGTAGGCTAGATGGAGAGAGACAAACTGGTTTTACAAAATGCTGCTAGGAAGTCAGTTCTTGTCTCTTGCTCCTTTTCCGGGAGATCCTTGAGGATGAGCATGAGACTGAATGAGATTAAAGGATTGTGTCCTGAAATCTTCACAGCTGAAAAAGGAAGCAAAGGAACTGGAGCCTGTCTGTCGCTGGCTTTCGCCAGTGCTCCTGAAACTGAAGCACCTGCACCAAATGCCAGAAGTGCAGAACATGCCAAAGGGGACAGAAGGTGCAAAAGCAGCCAGCGACTCCGAAAATACCTCACCCAAGAACAGCTCCTGTCACAACTCCATGGCGATGAGTCGACAGTACTTACAAAAGCCACAGGATCATTGCTCCGTGTCCCAACTAGACTGAACTTCTTCACACAGGTGTTATTTTTCAGTGCTTCTGCAAAAGCTTTTAAAGTTGGTATGGGAATATTCTGTGAAAGGAAATGCAGAAAACCTTCGTTAGGCCCTTTATCATTCGTATGAAGGAATATGCAATACATTTTAATGACAGCTCGTATTTCTTATCAAGGTCAAATCACCAAATGCACTTAAAAGGTAATTTAGGAAGGAGTCCATAAATGTTTTTACAAGTTCTCTTGCTATCATCAGCACAGCCTAAGGAGCGTGGCAATGTCTTCGTCCTATTTCCCACTCTGCTGATAGCTCACTGCCTTGATTTGAAGCTACAATGCCTCTGCTGTTTAATTGCCCAGAAACTCAGCTACTTACAAATCCAGGCATTGTGGGGATGTATGTAACTGGGATCCATGAGCACACAAAGCACTGCTCCTGTGCTTTTTAATGTGAATGACAGCACTGAGCAACACTCCTGTCATGACAGGAAAATTTCTGCCTACAGGGCCTGATCCAGAAAGACCTGAAATTATCTCCTTGTAGCACAAACCACAGACACTTCCAATTGCTTTATACAACACCTTTCAGCCTAACATTTGTCCTTCTAGGTCTCAGCCCAGACAACGAATCCATGCTGCTTATTCTGAGTTCCAACAAAATTAGTGTTTTTCACTCATCAAGCACTTTAGATACCCGTTTTGGATGCACAAATTTTCACTCATCTAAAATTTTAAGGGGTATCCTCAGCTTGGATTTCTTGCCACACCATTTGGATCTCACCATGTGGAATCACCTACAGTCAAAGCCTTCTACAGAGCCATAAAACAGAGCCTAGCAGCTTACCATCTCCGCTGCCACTCCCCAGTTCTCTGTACCATGTCCCAAAGTCATGAGTCCAACACACAAGAAAACCATCTGCCTGCCAGATCCTCAGCCTGGTGTCCTCAAGGGACATTCAGGGTCATTAGCCAGAATCAAATACATGAAAGTAAAAATCTTGTCGTTATAGAAAGGTGCAGGTGGCATGGCACGAGTGTTTTCAATGTGCACAAGCAATTAACCACGTTCTTGCTATTTGAACATCCAACGGACCCCATGGGATTGGGGTCCTCGAGTCAGGGAGGACACATGGAAGCTGTATTTTTCCAATATGTGTATGTGTCCCAGAGGCAACATAAGAAGTGATGCTGTATCCTGATTTGCTTTCTGCAAGAAGTAATGGAGTCCCACAGAACAGACGGGTGGGAGACAGACAGAGCTACCTGCAAGAATGGAGGCTGCTTCATGTTTTCATGGTAAGTGTCAGGATTATGAAGCCTTTTTCCTCCCACCATTTTATCTTACATAAACTGCCCCTTCACCAAATGTGCCTGGCTAAACCAGAAGCAACCTAGACATCTTTAACCAGACAGGCTGTAGACAGGTCTGTCACACTCAGGAATCTACAGGAGTCCTCCTGCCACCAACCCCACACCACTGTCCCACAGCAGGTAACAACCCCTGCTGCCCAAAATGGAGATGGGAAGCACTGGTGTTTCTTGTCTGGCTCTGCATGGTGTTACTGTATTACTCTGTGCAGCAAAACAGACTTGGTCTCTGCCTTCTGTGTATCAAATGTTTGGTCCTGTTATCAAGAGAGGTGAGTAGGAAAGAGCAAATACCATAATATTGTTAAGGTTGACTTCCTCGAGGTCGGGATCGTTGCTTTGTATTCGCTTTAGAGTTTCCTCCACATCCGTTGAGTTTGGTTCCTCATCAGGAACTGGTTTGTACTGCGTGGGCTTAATCACACCTGCAAGTGGAAAGCAAGACACGTGAAACTGGGTGTGTTTCTCCTCTTCCGGAAGCAGTGCTGGGAGAAGGAAGCATGACCTGACAAACAAACACGAGATGAGAGACTGAACAAGCAGCTGCCAGCTCCTCCTACACTCATGTGCATCCGGAAATGCTGCCTGGCAGCGGGGCCAACCAGCACAGCACAGCCAGCGCCTGCTGCTACGTGCTCTCAGGGTCCAAAACCAGGTGATGGAGGGCACACTGCCTGCACAGGGCTGTGCCCTGGGCTGTGCCAGCTCCCCGATGGCACCAGGGCAGCCACTGAGGCCATGCTGGCTCACACAGGGCGAGGATGCACTAGAGACAGCCCCAGCAATCACAGGCTGCTCTGGCATTCACAGCTCCAACCTTCAGCCTAAAAATAATTCCCGCTTTGCCTCTGCTAGTAGCTTCAAAGGCAAACACTGCAGCCTGCTAACACTCTAAATCACTTACTGTTGAGCCCTTCTTTGTTCACAATGGTGCTGCTCCCCAGTGCCTCATAGTACTGCTGGTTACTCATCAAGGTGTGCATGCCAAGGATGGCTAGAGAAAGAGAAAATAAAAAAAAGAAGAACGTGACTTGAGTTATTGCAGGCTACAAAGCCAGGAGAAGACAGGTACATGTTGTGCTCTCCAGGATGGGGGTCTGTGGTGCATTACAGACCAAGCTCCCCAGCTGTCATAAATACACAACAGGGCTCAAATGTGCTCAGTTGTTTATTCCAGTGTAGCATGACTCACAGAAGAGGAACATCATCTTGTGGACAACAAACAAACAGCCAAGGCTTCCCAGTAGCTGACTTGATTCAGCATCATGCAAAAAGAGGGATGGGAAGACAGCAGAACAAACAAAAATGCCATTGGTAGGATTTAATCTAAGGGGTCCAGTCCAGTGCATCCTCAGCACCCTCGCTCACCTGGGCATGAGCCACACACTGCAACAGTCCAGTTTTTGAGATGAGCTGTAGCCCACGCAGAATCATACCGACCCCTCAGGCAGCAACACACGAGGTGACTGTCACCCAAAGCATGGCAACACACATCGTGTGGTCACTCAACAAGCTGGGGAGGTGGCGGTGCTGGTGTGCTTTGAACTGATCTGTGTACACTTGGAAGTTGACATTGTGAGACACTAAAGTTCTGCTGGCTCAGCCAAAAGTGATGCTATGAACAAAATTCAAAGACTGTAAGAGCCCAAATGCCAAACTTCTGCCAATTTCTGTATATCAGGCTCATGGCTGCAAAACCAATATGCAAATGCACATTGAAATGTTCCCAGGAGGACCTGCTGACATTCTTGCCAGCTGCAAATGAGAAGAGGGAAGCCAATGGCTTAACAACATTTGGGCCAAGATTCTGTTTATAAAAATAACCCCACTACTCACAGAATATTCACATTTGAAAAGGAACTGTTTTTTTAATAAACCTTTTTAAAAAACCCGCAAAAAACTACATGACTTGCTAAAGAAAAATGCAGACACACGAATACTTGTTACAAACAGACACATTTGAACAAATCTTGACCTCTGGATGGGCACAGTGTTTAAAATAAATAAAGGACAGATCTCTCCCTAAAATTCAAGCACGCTGACACAAAGGCACTTTGCTTTCCGATGAGCCGCTCCTTTTATGCTTCATTGGCACCAGTCCATCATGATTTGCTCGGTGCTTTGGCCAAGAGGGCTGGGAGTTGCCTGCAGTGAAGGGTGTCAGCGAACATCACCGTCCACTTCCCCACACCCTGCCCAGCACATCCCCACTTGATTGCACAGAACCAAGGAGTCTCCACCTGCAAGTCTGAGTGAGGCTGGGCACCCTGAGTTTGCTTGTTTGTATTTTAGCCGGCCCTTTTCTCTGCCATGTACTCACAGATGGAATTTGCAGGAGTGCAACACAGCTCAGAAAAGTAATTTGCAGGCTTAGCATTTTGGGGACACACACCCCAAACACAGCTTACTCTGACACCAAAAACTCTGCATCAGCCAGGACTGTGAATATCTGGACTGCAGACAGAGGGAAAGAACTGCTGTTATGACCACACAGGGTTTTTTGGGGCTAGAGTTTGTGCTGGGAGACAAGAGGGACTCACTGTTTTTAAGTCTGGTGCTTACTGTGTATTACCCAAAGGAACACAAGCAGAATGAAGGCATCCTGTTTCTGCCTCCCCCAGCTGACCAAAGGCATGGGAGCCCTTCCAGGACTTGTTGGGAGCCACCCACAAGAATTATCCTACTGGCCTTGCCAAGGAAGGAATCCAATACACCATGGCTGACAACAAGCCCTGCTAAATAGATAGGAGCTGCTTCCCAGCCTTAGCAAACCTGGAAAAGCAATGCTGTCATTGTCAATATTGAGATTTCAGCATAGCTCATATCACATGTGTTCTCCTTCTGCCACTTCAAGTATATTCTCCCAACAATTGCAGCAAAAGCTGCCCTGGACAACATTCATCTGTGAAAATAATTGCAGCACAGATCTGGAGCTTAGAAAGGCAGATTTTATAGGACAGGGCTTTATAAAGCTCCAGGAGTACAGTAAAAAAGCAAAACCCAGAGATGCAAAGCTTGGTCAGGCTACATATGTTAGAAGCCTTAATGCAGAAACACATTTCAAAGACAGCATAGGATACTATTGCGCAGAAGGTGTCTAGTTGGTGTGGTTATTCTACAGGCTATCTTACAGACTTCTGGCAAGGAGGATACTGCTAGGGAGTATGGAAGTCTGAACGAGACAGAACTGGAAGAAGCCAGTCACACTGAAATATTCATCAACTGCTAGACCATCAGGGACTTGTAAGCTCAGTAAAGCACCAAGGGGCTGTTCAGGTGCTGCTTTGGCCAAGGAGTATCCTATAAAGTCACACAGCTAAGTCCATGCTGCTGGCTTCAGCAAGATACCAGTGTTGTCATCTCTACAGTGGCAGAGCAAGGAGGCTTGCAAGGGCTCGCCACCACTCAGACAACACTGCCTGAAAAGCAGTGATGGGACACTGCTGAACTTACCTACCACGGAGACACAAACCTCTCAGAGAGGGACCATGCCTGTCTTTCACAGTCATCGTGGAGTACACCAGCCTTTTAATGCTGGATCCCCCTCCCAGCCCTGAGCTAACACTTACAACGCTGGCTGACCGCACCAATCGCCAGAATGTCACAGCTGTAAACTGTGTTGGAAAAGCTCTTTAACAAACAGCAGCCCTCAGCGTCTGTTGAAAGACTGCTCTAACCTGTCAGTTCCTTTAATGGGCTGCATAAGAAATCCACATTCTCACTGGATCTGTTTGATTGTTTCCTAGAGGTTTGGCTTGAAGAAAGCTGGGCTCCTGAAGATGATGGGCTGCAGTTTGCAAGATAAGAGTGTCAGACACAGGAGAAGAGCTCAAACAGCCCACTCTGTATCCTGGATAAATCCTTCTCCCTCCTCAGCTTTGGTCCATGTACCTGATTCAATCACATGGGCTGAAACTAACTTTAAATATATACTTCTTTTTTAACAAAGACATAAATCCTGTCAAAACTGACAGCATTCAGATAAACAGCAAAAAGCTCAACAGCTCTTTTCCCACAAAAGAACAAACAAAAAGAAACTAGCAGTTGAACAATTAGAACCCCCAATTCACGTGAAACTGTTTTACCAGCAATGTCACAGAGCTCTGCATCAGAGGCATTAGCGAGGGCTTCCTCCAGCTCCGGCTCCAGAGTCACGCTTTCCAAAACAGGATCCATCGGCTTCTGCTTGGGGATCCAAGCTTTTCCTACAAACACAAAGCGGGGTCACTCTCAGTATAGATGTAGCACCTGTTTCACAACTACCCATGCAGATACATTTCTGTGGGGCAAGGTTTGCACAGTCAGAAAGGACAGAGGGGGCACAAGGACCTAAAGAAAAATCAGAGGAGATGCTGAATCCCTTCCCATTAGCTTGGCCTGAGTCCTGCTGCGATGTGAACCAGGAGGCACCTGCCAGACACCACCAACTGCAGAGCTGGACTCTTTCACCAGCACAGAGGGCTGTGTCTGCCAAAACCCAAGCCTAAGTTTGTACAGGATGATGACTGTTCAACACATGGCACTCAGAAAGCCACACACAGCCTGTCCCCGCAGGGCTTCACTTCTTTGAAGGCTGCATAAGAGGGATGGAGATCTGCCAGCACTCACATGGACCAAGAGGGACCAGTGGCCTGGATCCAGCATGTTGCAGGATTGGTCCTGCCACTGAAAGCTCCTGCTGCTAACTCCAAATGCATGGTGGCATGGCAGATGGCATGTTAGTCAAAAGAGGGTGGAAAGCAGGTGGTGGAGGGGGTCTGGCAGCAGGCAGGGATAGCAGGCAGTTGTCCAGTGAGCACATGGGATGTGGGATGCAAGGAGGAGCAGGCTTGGGGCAGCTGGTCTGGCTCGATGTTGCTGCAGAGGACAGCAGGATAGGGGGGAGAGACATAGAGGGCATGCCAGATTGGAGACCTCTGTGCTCTACCTCCCAGGACAGCAGCAGGCCAAGGAACAGGGTTTTTCCCTGCAAGTCAGAGGTGCAAACCAACAGGCACAGCTGGGAACACAAGCTGCTCACTTGTGGCCTTTGTCCTAACGGGGACCATCCGCGTGGACGAGGGGCTGCACAGCCAGCGACACAGCTCCAGCTCCGCTCTGAATGCCGTGGGCTCCCCGGCGTTGCCCCATCCCATTGCCCAGGATGGTGCCAGCTGCACCCACAGAGGTGTGGGGCAGTGGAGGGGGTCCATGACTGCTCCTAACTGCTCACACTGCATTGCCAACGGGTGGGCACATCTCTTTGTGGAGGCTGAATGGGTCAGGTCTGAGATTTCACAACAGGGCACCTACCTGTGACTGCCCCTGCCACCAAAGGAAAGAGAGAGGCTCGTGGTGGTTTAACACACCACACCAGGGACCAGTCTGGTGGGTAAACCCAGGGCTGCTGCGGGATGGGAGGGGGAGGAGGAGGAGCAGAGATCCCAGAGCATTTCGGAGCAGTGCCCTGCCCTGAAATAGACCAGGATCACTGCAAAGAGATAACGAGTGCAAAGCTCTTGGCCTGCCATGCCAGCCAGGACTATTTCTGTCCCCCCTCTGAAACCAGAGTCAGTGGTACCAAAGGGGAGGAACAAAGATCCTGCTGCTCGGTGATGTGCAGAAATAGAAGCAGCTAAATTTAGCCTGAAGGAAGGAGCAGCTGTGTTTCGGGCTCCCCCAGTACGAAATGGCGGCTCCTATAAAGAGCCC